CAAGTTCAAATCTTTCCTGACACTTCAAAAATTACACTATGGTCTGGCTAAGATGGAGGTGTGAGCAGACACGCTTCACCTCCTCACATAACCATAAGAAGGATCACAACTAACTTTGAAACTAAAAACAACCACAACTGCCAGCAAATCAAACTATATGGAAGTCCAACAACCAAGGATTTACAGAAGAAATATTCATCCAGAGGGGTAGGAGGGGTGAAGCTGGGGAGCCAGGGCAGAGGCAAGGAAGGCGGTGCCCGTTGGCAGAACAGGTGGTCCCACATTCCTGGGTGGCAGATAAAAACCAGAAAGGACATCTGGAGAGTGAGTGATCCCAGCTTCAGGCCAGACCCCACAACCCAGGGTTCCAGTGCCAGGAAATAAAGCTTCATAACTTCTGGCTGTAAAAACCAGTGGGGATTGGGGCGGCGGCAGAAACTGCTGGTCTCTCAGCGGAGTCCATTTAAAAGGACCTAGAATGTACAAAAAGCCACCCATGCTGGGATTCGGCACCAGGCAGCAGCTGGAAGGGTGCCAGTGGCATATAGGAAATGGGGGAAGTGACTGGAAATGGGGTGAAAACTGAGCAAGTGGTATGTTCCCTCTCTGACCCCTCCCCCCACACAGCGCCACAAAGCGGTGAAGTGGGTTGCCCTGCCCTGGCGAATACCTAAGTCTCCACCCCTTACCACATAACAGGTCTGCCAACACAGGTCCCCAGTTGGGGGCGAGCAAGAGGCAACCAATTGATGTATCTCTCACACACTGATGTTTCTTGTCCTCTCTTTCTCCCCCCCCTCAAAACAAATAAATAAAAATTAAAAAATAAACAAACAAACAAACAAAAAAAAGGAGACAATAAGACTCTGGGACATGTCCAAACATGCCAACATCTGAATTATAGGGATAACAGAAGGAGAAGATGGAGTAGCAAGAAACTGAAAACTTACTTGAAAAATAATGAAAGAAAACTTTCCTTATTTGAGAAAGAAAAGACATACAAGTAAGTAAGTCCAGGAAGCACAGGGAGTCCCAAACAAGTCAGACCCAAAGAGGGTCACACCAAGATACCACATCATAATTAAAATGCCAAAGGTTAAAGATAAAGACAATGTTAAAAGCAGCAAGAGAAAGGCAGAGAGTTACCTACAAAGGAGTTCCCATGACACTATTAGCTGATCTCTCAAAAGAAACTTTGCGGGCAAGAAGTCTTCAAAGTGGTAAAAACCAAGAACCTAGAACATAGATTACTCTGTCCAGCAAAGCTAACATTTAGAACGGATTCCATTAGAATGGAAGGGCAGATAAAGTGCTTCCCAGACAAGGTAAAGCTAAAGGATTTCATCATCACCAAGCCCTTATTATATGAAATGTTAAAGGGACTTATTTTTTTTAAAAGATAATAAAAAATGACAACAAACTCACAACTATCAGCAACTAAATCTACAAAAACAAAAGCAAACTAAACAGGGAAGGCTGGGGTGCTGGGGTGGGGGAAAGGCAGAAAACTGTCCTTGAACAATAAAAAGAAAAAATAAAATAAAATATAATTTGAAAATTCCATAATTCAAAAAAACTAAACAAACAACTAGAACAGGAACAGAATCAAAGAAATGGAGAGTTATCAGTGGGTGGGGGAAGGGGGAGAATAGGGGGGAAAAGGTACAGGGATTAAGAAGCATAATTGGTGGATACAAAACTGACAAGGGGACGTTAAGAATAGCAAAAGAAATGGAGAAGCCAAAGGACTTTCATGCATGACCCAGGGACATGAACTAACGCTGGAGGAAACAGGGGGACCAGGTGGAGGGGACAAAGGGGAAAAGAGTTGGGGAAACCGTAATAGCATAATCAGTAAAATTATACTTTTTAAAAAAGCTATACTATACACTGTTCTAAGTCATATGACCTGAATCAAACTACCATTTTTTAAAAAGATTTGATTTATTTATTTTTAGACAGAGGGGAAGGGAAGGAGAAAGACAGGGAGAGAAACACCATGTGGTTGCCCCTCGCATGCCCTCTGCTGGGAGCCTGGCCTGCGGCCCAAGCATGTGCCCTGACTGGCAATCAGACTGGTGACCCATTGGCTTGTAGGGAAACACTCAATCCACTGAGCCACACCAGCCAGGGCAAACTACCAGTTGTTGTTTTTTTTAACTGTAAAGGACATGTACTATGGGGTTTATGATTAATTAGGTTATAATTAGTATATGTATGTGTATATATTTATGAAGTACATAGTATGTGCTTATCAAATAGTAATTAAACTTTTTAATATAACCATTACTGTACTAACCATTTAATGTATCTGGCATTTGTTTACAAATTATCCCACTTGGATCTCCTACATCCAGCAATGTGAAGGAAAAGATAACCTGAAAATCTGCCTCATACATAACACCTAAAAAAACTTGATGAAGTTTAACAAATACTTTAGATTATATAACAAAACACAGAGCTGAGATTTTAAGCAAAAGAAATCTCCAGGGGTCAAAAATGTAGAGGAACCTGAAACTCAGGGACTCTCCTAGCGAGCTGACGGTGGACTGCCCTGGGAAGGTGTTTTGGCCTGGGCAATCGAACGGCTTGCTCCTTAAGTCCCAGGGCTGGGAGATGAGGCTTTGGACCTTGGAGAAGCCATGAGCTGGAGCTCAAAGTCCCCTGTGTAAAGCCCAGACCTTAGAGGAAATCATACTGTCAGTTAAAAAAGTAAACCGACTCAAAAGTACAGAGACAATAGGAAGTTTAGATAAAAAAGACAAGTTTCTTTATGAATTTGAACCTTGACCTGTGTGAAGACTGAATTTATTCCAGTTGTATGGAGTTTATACTACCTGTGTGGTCCCAGAATCTCCAGCAGAGAAATTACCTTAATACATAGTTCCAGGCTGATAATATTTCTTGGTGATTAGTAGAAACAAAGGCAATCCTTCCCTCTCCCTCCATAGAAGTACTAATTATCTCATTTTATTCCCACCACTATTCTATGAAATAGATAATAATGTTAAGGAGGTTTAGCAAGTTGTTCAGTCACTTACCTATTATCTGACAGACCTGGGATTTGAACCCGGTTGTTGTTCATTGAACTGAAACCATTTACCAAGTTATACTGTGTGCCACGCGATGACAAGGCCTGTTTCCTTTCAGATACAACACACTGCCTAATCTTCTTTGTGCAGATGAATAGATAAATATAACTATTTTCTTCTCAAGTTCAGCAACTCAGTAAGAATGAAGGCAGTCAGGACCACAAGAAGCCCACGGGATTACCCTGTGCCCTGTCTGCCCGAGCACCTCAGTCCTCCCTGGCGAAGGGACGTGGGTGGCTGGGACACTCTGAGCTGGGAAGGAACCCGGCAACAGGCTCTCTCTGAGCTGGAAAGGCACAGGGTTCTGCCCAGTGGGTCCTGGTTGCTGGAGTTAATTTTATTAGAATGCACATACAGAAGTTTTAAAAAAATATTTACCACTAAGGCAAAATTGTGATAATAAAGCTGTTGTAATAAACACAAATATATGGAGAACGGGATGACAGTTCGGGGGAAGCTAGGGAGTGGAGGGACTGAGCAAAAAGAAAAAGGACTCGTGAACGTGGAAGACAGTGTGGTGACTGTGGGGGTGGGCTGTATAAGCAGACTAAATGATAATGGAAAAATACAATAAAGATGAAATTAAAGAAGAAAGAAATTGAAAGTGATGACAGCTATAGTCATATCAGGCTCAACCTTCAATATATTTCTGAATGTTATTCAGGAGCATTGAGAAAATCCTAATTTACAAATAAGTAGCTGCAAATGTTAGCAGTTTTTAAAAATTAACATGTATTCATATAACTTAACACACTGATCATCTTATATATAGGGGTGCTTTATAAAAATAGTTCTAAATATTTTTTTTAAATCAAGTAATATATTTGAGGAATTTTTGAAGCACCTTCTAGTGCCCCTATAGAACGAAGTTTGGAATAACTCCGGAGTTCCCTGAGATCTCTGCCACCAAGGCCATAATTAACCTACTCTTTGAGCTTCATTTCCTACTTCTCCCCTCTTCTAATCTTCACCCCAGCTGATGTCAAGTACTGATTGTGCCCTGACCATACCTCCTTACCACCACGTGTTTGTCCACACCGTTACCTTTACCTCTGAATTTGTTATATTTTTGAAGGCTCAAGTTATGCTGAGCACCAAGCTAGCAACTTACATCCATTTTCTCATTCACTTCCACCACCACACGTCCTACCCATTTTGTTTATTTGTAAATAATAGGAACCATTACTAAGCACTTGCTTTATACCAGATATTATATCCTGAGTGTCTTCCACTAGTTCATTTAAGCCTTATAGCAGGCCCTATGAAATAGAGCAATACTATTGCCTTTATTTTGTAGTGAGAACACTGAGACTCTGGAAAGTTAAAGAAACTTGCCTGAGCACAAGTTAGGGAGAGATCTTCCTGGGAAAGTGCCATCTGAGCTCTGAGCTGAATTCTTAAAGAACAAGGTGAAGCTCTCAGGGGACAATGACATTCCAGAGAGAGGGACAACATGCACAGAGGCAGAGAAGTAGAGAACAGTTTGGTACACAGTTCAGGGGAAAAAATCAGCCTTCACAAACAGCAGACCAGGGTTCAAATACCTATTTTTGGTTTGTGCTGTGGCCTCTTACTGTGGCCATGATTTTCTCATCTGTGACATGGTAATGCCAAGTGGCACCTCACAGAACTGCTTTCAGATTCGAGTACCCAGCACAGGGCCAGGCCCATGGCAGGTACTCAATAAACATATGTCCCCTCCCTTCCTTCCCCCAGTTGAATATTCAATAATGCTCCATAAATGTTAGTTCCATCTCCACTGGATCCCAGACATGTCCCCCTCCTACAAGTCTGCAAACTTTATGACAGCTTTTATAGGCGTAGTTTATCAAGAGTCACCCAGCAACTTATTTGGTAATGACCTTAACCACCCTTTCTCAAAATTAGAGCCATTCTCAGACAACTCACCTGTGTAAGCCATGTTTTTAGGGTTGCCATAAGGAGCCCCAGGCTGCATGGGGCTATAAACAGGGTTCATTGTGGAAGACGGAGGATCCTACAGAGAAACAGAGAAAACAGCCTTGATTATTAATTGCTCATTCTCCCTAACATCAGCTTCCTCCCTATAATCTTCAGCTTACACTCACAGAGAAGCAAATGGTATAGAGGACGAAACAAAAAGCCATTTGTTTGTACTTGGCCCTGTGCTAGATACGTTTCCTATTATACAGATGCAGATGCTGGAAAGAAGAGAGGTGATAAAACTTGCCTGAATCAATTCAGGCCTTTGGCTGGCTCTGAGTTCAGTACTCATCCCACTATCCCAGATGACTGTCACTAGCATACTGTGTGACAGGGCCAAGTCACATCCCCTCTACGGCCTTCAATGTCCTGATGTAAAGTCAATTAGTTTAGGCTCTCAAAGGTCCTCTCTCATTCCAAGGACGCTAGTCCAGGAGCTGGTAAAGGATACACTCCTGTTCACCAGGGAAGCCAGAGTGCCTCACGGTGAGCACACAGGCTTCCAGAGGGAAAAGTAGTGAGTGTCTCACCCACCCTTTACACCTTCAGAGGACAAGACACCAGTTACTAACAGCCATTGCCATTGATTGATTGCCATTGATCATTTTTAAAAGAGATTTTATTTTTATTTGTTTTTAGAGTGAGGGGAAGGGAGGGAGAAAGAGAGGGAGAGAAACATTAATGTGTGGTTGCTTCTTGCACACACCCAACTAGGGATCCAGCCCACAACCCAGTCATGTGACCTGACTGGGAATCGAACTGGTGACCCCTGGGTTCAAAGGCCAGCATTCAATCCACTGAGCCATACCGGCCAGGGTTGCCATCGATCATTTTAATACAAACAAGAGACCACAGCCAAGGCCTCTCACGAAATTTACTCAAGCGAAAAAATAAACTTGGAAGTTTGTGTGCAGTAAGTATCATCTTCAGGAGGAGGAGATGGTGGCCAAGTAGGTGGAAGCTGAGTCCACTTGCTCCTGCCCCTCGACTCAGGTACTTGGCTGATCTTCCGAAAAATAAACCAAACATTTGACAGAATCTTAGCTGATATGAAGTTTGGAAGCCAAGGAGTACAGAAGACGCTTCACAACAGGCGGTAAGGAGATTTTATAGGGTGAGGGGGAAATACCCTGTGGGTGGCACCGGCAGTCATAGCCAGCCTGGTCAGAGACTGCAGCTTTGGAGTTCCCTCCCCTCCCAGGGCAGAGAACCCCGGGAGGGGACCCAGGCCAGAAGAGACTTTACACAAAGTCGAGGAGGTCCAGGCTACCTATGGCCACCCCCCCCCCCACCACCACACACATGCTAGGCAAGCATCACACCCACAGCTGCAGTGGCAAATGACAACCAGGAAAGTCCCAGAGGGAGAGAAAGGGATCCTACCTGCACCCGGATGGGGCAGAGGAGGCAGGCAGCAGCCAGCCATGACTGTGAGAGACTCTTGGCTTTTTGGAGAGGTGGTGTGGTGTACGGAAAGCTGGACAGTGACCCAGTGCTACAGTGGGAGTGCCTGGAGAGACTTTTTAAAAGGAGAGCTAAGGCATGCTGGGCACAGCTGCCCTGACAGCAAGGGGAGTGGACTGAGGGCACGGTTTGCTCCCACTGAATGCAGCTGGACAGAGAGATCAGGAAGGTGCAGAGTGAGGGGATTTCTCGGGCGCAGCCCAGCACAGCTGGCAGGGCAGAGGCTGTGCAGAATGGAGAGTTCAGGACTACATCTACTGCAAGGGCAGTGGGCTGGGACCTGGATGGGAGGGAGTTGAGCACCTCAGATTATTTACAGCCACACAGAGCTCCCTTCCCCAGCGGAGACTGAACCTCTGGGAAGGGAAAGAAGCACTCAGCCTCCACCTCCTGCAGGATGGAAAGCACCACCAACAGGGAAGATCTGCAAAACAGGCAGGAGAGGCCCAACAACGCCCTTCAGGGTGCACATCCCCAAGAGAAAGACAGAAAGTGAAATTTGTTAAGGGGACCATTTTGAACTTCTGTAAGGGAGACAAAATACACTGGTTCCCAGGGCCCTATTCCACTGAGGCCATCGTGCAGCAAGGAGGAATCAGGGCCTTGCCCACTCTCAGCTTGCACAGAGAGCTGCCAGCAGCACCAAGCAGGAAAGAGCTACCCTCTTACACAGATTGGCCCCTCCCTTGAAACAGACAGCTAATTCATCAGAAACTATGTATTATGGAAATAAGCTGAGAAAGACCAAGATGGGTAGTGCAGGGGCAGGGGGAACACATCCACAATTTTCCCAGAGGACTGAACAGAGCCTCCCAGAGGAGACCCAGAGGTCCCACCCTCCCAATCTCAACAGAAACCCCCTCTAGAGGCAGGTGACAGTGATAGAGGCGGTGCTGCCAGATGTTGGACAACCCAGCCCAGGACCTTGAGCTGATAAAAAGCCAGAGGTGGATCCAGAAAGAGGATGGACAGAAGGCAAACACCAAACTGTTGAGATAAATTCCACTTCGTTTTACTTCAGAATTTGTGAGGGTTTTTAGTTCCATTCATATAGGCTTTTAATATTTCTCTGTTGCTTCAACTGTATTATAACTAATTCACCATTCTTTGTCTTTTCGTTTTTATTCAGATTTATATTATTTTATTGTTATTTCCAATCTCACATTATACCCTTATTCCATTTTGCCTTCTTCCTGCCCTTCCTTATTTTTGTTGTAAATTTTCTTTTCTCCCTATATTATACCTTGTTCCTGTTCCTTACTCTTACTATTTCTCCTCCTCCATCCTCTCAAAAGCATGCTCCCTTCTTTTAATCAGCTCATATTTTTTTCTTCTTCTTATAATATTCTTATTTTCTTTCCACCTTTATAAATTGTGGCTTATTTGGCATGGATATTATGGTTACTGTGTTCTTCTTCAACTGTATTCTTATTTGCTCATTTTTTTAAAAAATTCAAATCTCAGAGGCTACTCTCCCCATCTTACTCCATTTTGCCTTCTTCTTGCCATTGCTTATTTGAGTTTGGAATTTTTTTTTTCTTTCTTGGCCTGGGTTCTATTTCTTACTCTTATTATTTCACCAACTCCTATCCTCTCAAACACATTTTTCTTTACTGTAGACATCTCATATTCTCTTTCATATAACATTCTCATTCTCTTTCCACCTTTATTAATCCTTGCTCAGCTGTCGTTATTGACCCGGTCGTGGTCTTTCTGCAGTTTCCTTCCCTTTGGTTCGCTACCTTCTTTATTGCATTTCAAACCTCATATTATACTATCCCCTTTCCTTACTCCATTTTGCTGTCACCCTTCCCTGTTTTACTTACATTTAAAATTTTATTTTCTCCCTTTGATCGCCTTGCTTTTATTCCCTACTCTTATTGATTCTCCCTCTTTCCTCTCACAATCATTTTTCTCTCCTTTAGTCGCCACATATTCTTTTTTCCTATCTTATAATATTCTTAATCTCTCTCCATCTTTATTAATCTTTGCTCGATTGCTGTTTATATTGCTGATGTGGTAGGAGAATATTTGTCTTCTGCATAGTATTGCTTTTTCACTAGCGCCTATACAACAGCATACAAGATGTGGCAGGGGTTGAAACTCCCAGCAAGCCAGCTGCAGGGGAGAACCCACCGATGAATGAGCCACCAATAATCAAAACCCAAGCACAACACAAGAGAGCCCACATAAACGGAATAAAGGGCAATCCTAGCACATCCAGGTCAGGAGACCAAAGAGACTGCACCACTGAGCCCCACAGAGGTCCTACCACAGAAGTCCACCCATGAAGACGGGCAGAAAAAGCAGAGCAACCTGAGATGCAGAAACAAACAAAAAGTGCGACCTAAAATGGAGAGAAAAAGAAATAACCCCACATCAAAAGAAAAGGAGGAATCCCCCCCCCAAAAAAGAGCTAAATGAAATTGAAGAAAGCAATCTATCAGATATAGAATTAAAAATAATGGTTATAAGGATGCTCAACAGACTCAGTGAGAACTGCATGGAACTTTATGAGAGCTACAAAGAACTAGTGGGAACTACGGCAGAATGAAAAAGGAATTACAAACTTTGAATAGTAAGCAGGAAGAAATGAAGAATACAATATCTGAAATGAAAAACACAATGGAAGGAATTAAAAGCAGGACCAAATCAGCAAGCTGGAGGACAAGATAGAAAGAAATACCCAGTCAGAGTAACAAACCAAAAAAAGATTCAAAAAGAACAAGAATAGTTTTAGGAAGCTTCAGGACAATATGAAATGTAACAACATTCATGTTGTAGAAATACGAGAATGAGAGGAAAAGGAGCAAGAGATAGAAAACCTGTTGGAAAAATAAGCACAGAAAACTACCCTAACTTGATGAGGGAAAAAGCCACTAAAGTTCAGGGAGAACAGAGAATCCCAATCAAGATGAACCCAAAGAGACATTATGATTAAAATGGCAAATTTTAAAGATAGAGTAAATCTTAAAGGCAGTAAAGGGAGAAGCAGCTAGTAACATACAAGGTAGTTCCAATAAGGCTATCAGCTAATTTCTCAACAGAAGCACTACAAACCAGAAGGGACTGGGATGAAATATTCCAAGTAATGAAAAGCAAGAACCTAAAACCAAGATTACTCTATCCATCAAGGCTCTCATTTAAAATAGAAGGTGAAATAAAGAGCTTCCCAGACAGAAGAAGACTAAAAAAGCATATCTCCACTAAGCCAGCACTGCAAGAGATGCTAATGAGGCTGCTATAAAAAGGAGAAGACAAGGGGGATGGGAAGAGAGAAAACTACATAAGAAAATAGCAATTAATAAGTATCTATCAATAACAACCTTAAATATAAATGGATTAAATGCTCCAATCAAAAGACATGGGGTAGTTAAGTGGATAAGAAAACATGACCCACATATATGCTGTTTACAAAAGACCCATCTCAGAACAAAAGATCTACACAGGTTGAAAGTGAAGGGATGGAAAAAATTATCCCAAGAAAACAGACATGAAAAGAAAGCTGTGGTAGCAATACTTGTATCAGACAAAATAGACTTCAAAACAAAAGCTGTAAAAAGGGACAAT